ATCACGTACTGTTCCAATCAACCCAAAATTTACGCATGTTTCTTGAAATTTACAACCACTGTAGAAATCAAAACTAAAAAATCAAATCAAATCCAGAAACATCAAAAACAATACAGTTACGGTAAATCAAATCTCCAGAAAACAAATCTTTATTCAATCTAAAATTCGGGAATTGTAGTAAATCTGGAAATCTCAATACAAACCATCGCCTAAGACTTCATGTAGCGATGTTCAGAAACCACACCTAGCTTATCGCCTAAGACACCACGCAACAATTCGCAGATATCACCCATGGCCTCAGTCTCCAAGCAGCTACTCATCACCAATTACTGTTTCATTCATCCCTCCAAAAGGGATGAATAAACAAAAGCAAAACCAAGGCATACAAAATTGCGCTCTCAAGCTCAAGACTATCAGCCTCGTCATCCAACCCTGATAAGCGATATATCATCAGCTTTGCCCACTTCCTTAAAGACCCGTAAGGGTATGTTATATCAGCATAACCTTATGATTCTTCGGACAAATTTTGGGGTATTCCAAGTATTCAATAAACTCCCAATCATAATGCGCAAGACTCGCGTTTTCTCACGCTATTCGATTGGAAGATAATTGAATAGGGGCAGCTGTCGTACTCCAAATTTTCCCTACCTCGATGATTTTATTTTTCAAGAAGAAATACTTAATTAAAGATGGTACAACAATATCTAATGGCCCATCTTTATATAAGACTAGAGGGTGTATTTTAATTCAGGAGTGAGGCTTTCTAAATCAGAAAGACTCATAAACCCATTCGCAAAGCATGCTGGATAACAAAAAAAATAGATACAAGGCCCAGTCTGGTTAAGAAAAAATGCATTGCGCTGAGTAAAATAAAAACTAGCGCAGGCCCAAAAGCAAAAAACTCGTACTGTTCCAATCAACCCAAAATTCACACACGTTTCTTGCAATTTACAACCACTGTAGAAATCAAAACTAAAAAATCAAATCAAATCCATAAACATCAAATACAATACAGTTACGCTAAATCAAATCTCCAGAAAACAAATCTCTATTCAATCCAAAATCTTGGAATTGCAGCAAATCCAGAAATTGCAATACAAATTGTATTCAATCAAACAACCAATCTAATCCCTAATTTCTACAAATCCTTCCTAAATCTCTGCTAATTGTAACAACAAATTAAGCTAACACTAATCCCTAAATCAGCCTATATATACAGAACAAAATTAAGAGTACAGGTGAAGCCGAATTTGACAAGAATAGAGAAGAAGAGGACACATTTTTTTACATAGGCTTGAAATCGGGAAGTCCCGAAGACATTAGGAGAAGACCGCGAAGCTTGAAGAAAATTGTTGTTGAAGCCGCCGCAATTAGGGTTCCAATATCTGGAACCCTAATTACACCGCTAGCCACCGCTGATCATCGAGCTCCGTCGTTGCTCCACTACCACCATCCTCAAGCTCTGCAACCTGCCAAATCAAGAAGAATAGGGGATTAGCCCAAATCGGACGAAACTCAGAATTAGAGCAACAAAATCGTAAAAGGGGTAAGGTCATTAGCTTTCGTTTTGTTTTGATGTTTAAGTGTAATTTATGGTGGTGGTAGGGTTTGTAAGCACCACGGTGATGGTTAGGGGATAAGGGTTTGGAAGCTAGGGTTAGAAGAGGAAAGGGTTGTGTTTAGCGAAAGAGAGAGGAAGGAGAGAAACTGTAAACAAACAATAGGTATAAATAAAAATGAAAAAGAATTAAAACATTATATTCTACCTGTTCTGATCCTGTACACCGCGCCTATAGCAGCTATCATAGTCCCTCAATCTCATTCGTTGGATACGCATCAGACGGTCATTAGACCAAGTCTGTACGGTAAATCCATACCCCCTCGCCGCACAAGATCCATCGAACCCCCTCCATAGCGTGTTGGGCTTAAGCCCAGTTCCTCTTCACACCCCCTTCGCCAGTAACTACTAAACGCAACTAGAAACTGCACCCCCTGTCTGAACTATAATTGGGTCAGCCCGAGCTTACCTTTTTAGCACCCATTTTTACTGTTTAGTTGAAAAACGACACCGCCTGAAATAATTAAATAATTCTCTAATTCTTTTTATTTTTTATATTTTTATTACTTTTATATTTTTATTCCTTATTCCTTTTTTTAATTATTTTTTTATTATAATACTTAATGTTATTATTATTTTTTATATTTTATAATTATTATATTTATATTTTTTATTCTTTTATAATAATTATTATTGTATTTAATTGTCATATATTATTTGTTATCACATAAATTATTTTTATTCAAACTTATACAAATTATTTTATATATTATTGCATTAAATATTTTTTAGTCATGCATTGATCAAGATTTTTGCAATTAATACTATAAAAAATACTAACAAATCTCAAATTATTTTTCGCAATAAACTAATTTAAACAACTGTTTTTGCAAAAGGATTTCAAACGAATTTTGACTAATCGCGCATTTAGTCAAAATCTCTACAATTATTATTCTCGATCAAAATGCGAGGTGATTCAAAATATATTTACAATTCTTAAAAAAATATCAATCTTATATAAACTATGAATTGAGACTTTGATTACTCATAAAAATATATGTAGACACGCGATCAAAATGTTTTGAACATAGAAAATAACGAGGGATTGACTTTGATTCTTTGTTCTGTAATTTATCAAGGTATTGATGGATAAATCTTTTCAACATATACAAAGTTGTTATGCGACACAAGTACGATGTGGATATCGTTATACCAATCAAATATTTCGGTGGATACTACAAATTTTAAAAAAATCATTATCTTATTCTTTTACATTTGAATATGTTATTCGATGTGAAATGTTATCTAAATGTTTCTTTAAAAAAAACATTGATCTTAGTCAATTCCATAGTAAATTTATAAGTATTTTAATTATAAAGAAATATTAATATATTTACACTATATCAAAATCAATTTAAAAACATTTATTTCTATTATATCAAACCAATAATATTTATCTATTTCTTGAAATCAACAATTATTCTATTTTTTAGTTTATATAAAAATAGATAAAATTTTATCAAGTTGAAAATAACATTGACTCGTGCTCATAGACAAACATTTAACTAATTTCTTTTAATATTATTAGAATTATTTTTAATGTTTCCCCAAAGTATTTTTAAGACTAATTCTAACATATGTGGTTGTTTTGGACTCCTCTGCTCCATAATTTGAGTGCAGAATTATTTTCACTCTAAAAATTTCTAATCACTTTTAATCAAAATAAATTTTGATAATTCATTCAAATGTCACTTTTATATTTGATACTCAAATTCATTCTAGATCAATTTCAAAACAATTAACAAAGCTTAAAAACAAAAACAATACTAGTATAATTTTATTACTTTTTGGTGGGACCCAAAAATTAGTAATATACTGTTTACAACAAACAATGTTCAACCGCCAAGCAAACAAGGGATAGGTGAAGGGGTGCAATGCAACTCCATCATCAGTCACGTCGTGCTACCAAGTCACTCGTTTTCAACACATTCCATAGCTGTCACATTCACACCTTCCATCAAGTGTGTAACACCTTCCATATCTTTTAAAAAATCTAAAAACTAATTAATATAATTATGGATGCGATTGATGTGAAGAGAAAGTTAGAAAAGAGAAATACAAGAGAAAGTGGAAGAAAATAGAAAAATGTGAGAAATAATGAAAATTTGATATATTGTTTATTATAAGAGAGGAATAAGAGAAATAGAGAAGAGAGAAATATTAATGGTTATTAAAAATATCAAATTGTCTTAATAATAATTTTGAATTAGAAGAAAATAGGGGTATAAATGATAATTTAGTAACAAATTAAGATTTGTCCTCTTTCTTCTCTATTTTAAAGAGATTGAAAAAAAAAGTAGATTCCATATATTTCTCTCTATCTCTCTTCTCATTCTCTCTTCTAAACCAATCAAAAGAAATTAATTCTGTTTTTTATACTTCTTTCTCACGTTACGCTCTCTTCTCTATTACTCTTAAATCAATTACACCCTATAAATCTAATATAATCATCACACAACTGCATAAACTAATTCTTCAAATCGTGTAAAAATCATCATAAGTTATAAATTTTTCTTCAAAAAATTTAACAATATATTATAAAGAATTTAAACGTAGAACATCTAATTAAACTTAAAGAGATTCATCAAATAATGTTAACATTATTGATTTATCCATAATTATATTTTCAACATTAAAAAAGTAAGAGTGTGTTTGGTTTGAAAGAGAAATTATGAAGAGAGAAATAGATAAGAGAGAGTATAATAAAAGAGAAAATAATGAGAAATAGAGTAAATTTGAAATATTGTTTGGTTTAAGAAAAAGAGAAAAGAAATAAAGAAGAGAGAAATGTTATATATTTTTAAAATTATTATAATGCCTTTATAATAAATACCATTAAAAATATATTTACAATGTAATGGATAAAATAGTCATTTTCCCATCCTAATTTATTTCTTCTTACTTTCTCTATATAATCGAAGAGATATAAAAAGTGTGGAGTTCATTCTTTTTTTCTTCTCAAACAAGAGAAGTTGTTATTCTCCCTTCAACTTTTCTCTCACCTATTTCTCTCTTTCCTACTTCTATTCTACCAAATACACCCTAAATGAGAAATCGCGTGGAAGCAGTACAAAAACATGGCGCGTGAGCGTTACATAAAAAGCAGCACCGCCTCTTATCGTTCTTTGTACTAGTACAACCTTCTCAATATCTCTTCCCACTCTTTTTCCTCAAAAAATTAAATAAAAAATTTAAAATCATTCTAAAATAAAAAAAGTGAAAAATACTCAACACTCACATTCATTCCATTCAACTTTCCCTTTCTCTTTTTTTTCTTGCAATATAAATATTTGGGTCCCATTTTTTACAAACCGTATCAAAACCTCTTCGCAAACCCGAAATCCAAATTCAAATTCAAACCACTCTTTCAAAAAAAAACCAAATGGCTCAAAACTCCGACTTCTACCTCCCGCCTCAGTTTCTCACCGACGACGAAAAACGGTTCGTCAACCACCTCTTCACTCCCTCCAAAAACGACGACGTTTTCAACTCCTTTTCAATCGATGACAAACACTACATCAACGAGTTAACTCGTCGCATGGCTCAGTCCTCCCTCCATCACCAACTCGCTCTCAACAACAAGGTAACAACAACATGCAAAAAAATTATCTAACATTATTTTCTCCAATGAAGAAATTTATAACCGTTTTTCTTCTTTTTTTAGGGCTCTTCACCACAATCAAGGCAAAACGACACCGTTTTGAACTCGAACTCGAACTGGAACCATCACAGAGTTACGAATGATCTACTGCATGCGGTTCCGTGTGAAGTTGATGAGGCTCACCGAGTGAACAACGATGAAGCTTTTTACGGGTTTCTCCCGAAAAAGCCCTCTATATTTCACTCTCAGAATCTTCAACACTCGATTTCTCAGAAACAGTTACAGCTTCAGTTACAAATAGCACAAGTAAATAACTAACATAAATTTGTATATTAATTTTTTATTTATTGTGATTTATTTATAAATTTATTATTAAATTTTTATTTATTTATTTTAGTTTGAGATGTTGAAGAAGCAGTGGTTGAAGCAACGAGATGAACTGGCTCGTGGTTGTGGAGTTTTTTCGCAGAGAAATAATTGTAATTACCAAAATGTCCTTGGAAGAGGAACGAACAGTGAAACGGTTTTTCCGGGAAAAGTTGGTTTGTCGCCATCTGCATGGCCTTCTGTGCAAAAGATTGGGAACAACAATAAACCCGTTTTTCCTGGAAACCCTAATTTGAAAAAGGAAAGAAACGGAACCGGGGTTTTTTTGCCTCGGGTTGTTGATACCGAGTCATCACGAAAAAAACCAGGTAAAAAAATCATTTACTAATTAAGTTTATTTTATGTTATGTAGATGAAAGTTTGGTCATAATATTTGTTTATTTTGTTATTTTTAATGTAGCTTGTAGAAATGTGGTTGTTCCTGATAGAGTTGTTCATGCATTGAATCGGAAGGTTGATGAAGGTGTTATTAGAGGTTACATGCAACAGAAGAATCGTTTTCATGGAACTTCAAATATTGAAAATGGTTGGTAAATTTTTTATATTTTATTTATTATTAATTTATTGTATTTATTATTTTTGTTAATTTATTTAGGTATTGGAAGGAATGGGAGTGATGATGGTTCTGTTAAGCAAAAGCTGAACGTGAGAGCACAGCAGACAGAGGTGAACAGTGAGATTCATCTACCTCAAGAATGGACTTATTGATAGTAAAAGTGGGACCGATGTTTTAAAAATTGAACCGAATTGAACCCGGTTCAGTTTGGTTTTTAAAACACTAGTACTAGTAGTTAATACAGGGTTAGAAGTTAGAAGAAGAATTAGTGTTGGGGAGGGTCTAGTATGGCTTTTTGGGGGGTATTTTGGGAAATGGGTGATGTTTTTATAGTCACTATGTTTGGGAGGTGAGTTAGATTTAGGAGAAATAAATGTAGATGCAAAATTGGGAAGATGAAGGAGCACTAGGTTGGAGATGATTTGGTGAAGATGTAATTACATTTTGATGTAATCATTTCTGGGGAATTACATTTTGTGTAAAGATCATAATGTTGCAACCTGTCCACCCAAATTACAATAAATGGATACAATGTATTTCAATGATTGCGTCTCTTAGTTTTTCTTAGGTGATTTTAATTATGTTTTTTTGTGATTTGTGGTCAAGTTAATTGCACTTGTTAATTGTATTTGGATTTTTTATGCTCTTTCATGAACTCGTAACAGGGTTTTTTACTTGATTCATAATCATAATTGATTTTAGAGTTAATAAAAATGTTGCCTTTAAATGGGTAGAGCAATGAGAACCATTTTCATAGGGCAATTACTATCTTACTTTTTCCAACTTTACTTATCAATGAAGTTTCTTTCAAAATTTTGTTAGTCGTGGGCCATGTAGATCTCGATTTATAGTGGGCCATCATTGACACGTGTAATTCAGATAATGTATGTTTTTTTAAAAAATAATTTTTTCTATAAATAAAGTAAAATAAATGTACGAATTAAATTTCAGATCATGCTTTTTATTTATGGCAACACAAATCCACTCTTGCAACACTGATCACTGAGCGGTGGCTAAAAATGGTTTTGAAATGAAACGTAGCTATCTACTGTCCATGTTGCCAATGCCTGCGCCTGTGTTCTCTGTTCTCAAGACAGAGACACACAGCCATTAGGGACGATTTACAAATAGTATACGGCAGGCCGCATATATTTAAACAATGTTCTACACATCCAAAATGGTGGAAGGGTATTAATTTAAATACCCTTTTTGTTATGTTAATTAATTTACTATTAAACTTATAAGTGAAATATAATTTTTTTAAATGAAAATTTGTTATTTTAAATCATTCAGGTAGGGACATCAAATATAAAAATATTTAAAAAAATTATAAATCGAACAGAATTGAAATTAAAATAAATAAAACTATTATATTTGATTAATGAATCGAATCATATTATACAAATAATTATATCATCAAATGATATGATAAATAAACTGAACTGAAATTAAAATTAAAACAAAAATACTAAATTATTTGTAAAATGTGTTTTTGTTTTTTCTCACGCGCGTTAAGGATGATGGTTGAGTTGAGGGGAGGGGTTCAATGTTTTGGTGGGGAGAGTGATGTGAACGTGCTGTGTGAAACGATGTGTGACATTGGATTAGGTGTAAAGTGTATTTGACTCGCTCAGTTTGTGTCTGTGGGACACTCGCTACCGAAAACTGTTGTGCCTTTTTCCCAATTCGTGCCTTACATTTTCCTTCTGCTTAGTAATAGTACCTCATCATATTCTAAGCATTTTGAATATTAAATGTAGATCATTTCTAAGTGAGATTCAAATTTTGATTCATCGTATATGATGAGAGTTTAATATTTTATTTCAATTTTTGATTCATCGTGTAGACCATTTCTTTTACTCTTTCTATTGGTCAGAAATTATTTATACTATGAAGTTATTGTTAGAGTAATTTTTTTTTGGATCTATTAATCAAAAGCAATAGCTTTTGAGGACGTTAACTAGAAATTATAGATTTCTGAGACTATTTTAGTTAAAAGGTTTTTTTGATCTATTAATCATAAGCAATAGCTTTTGAGGATGTTAACTAAAACTTATAGATTTCCGAGACTATTTTAGTTAAAAGGAGTAATTAGATATTTTTTAGAAGTTATTGTTAGCTGGTAGTTTAACTATTAAATATATTTTTGTTTGTGTCTATGTGACAATTTATTTTTTGTATTTAAATAAATATGTAGTTAGAGTTTTTGTAAAATTTTATAATAGAGTTTCTTTTTCAACAAATTTGTTGCAACCAATTTTCTCTCTCTTCTCTCTTTGTTCTTTCAGCTTCATCTTCATCTCCAATCTTGTGCACCAACAATTAGAATCTAGAGCTTCAGTTTGATTCACAGAGAAACACAAGTGTACGTGAGACGCGTGTGATTGATTTTGTTGTTTGAATTCATGTTAAATTCACGATCAAAATCGTAACAGAATTGTATTTCTTGATTTTGTGAGATCGGGAAACACGAGTGTTTGATGAAATCTGAGATCTGTTTGAGTTTTTAGTGCATAAGAACGAAGATGAACGACGAAAACCGTTTGAATACAAAGTTTCCAGTGTTTGATGGAAAGAATTGGAATCAATGGATGATTCAAATGCATGTGTTATTCGGTGCTCAAGATGTTCTTGATCTCGTCACAGAATGTTACATCCCAGTTGTAGCGGATGTAATAGAGGAACAGAGAAATACGAGGAAAAAAGATCAAAAAGCGTTGTTCTACATCCATCAGTGTGTGAATGCGAACATATTTGAGAAAATCGTTGATTCGACGACAGCGAAGGCTACGTGGGATATACTGACATAGTGCTATAGCGGTGATGCGTCAGTGAAGAAGGTGAAACTTCAATCTCTATGTAAGTAGTATGAGAATCTCAACATGAACAACAATGAGAAGGTACCTAATTACATCTATAGAGTGATTTTCATCACAAATAAAATGAAAATCTCGTGGAGAAACTCTTTCTGAATATGATTACATTGTTGTAGCAATTGAACATTCTAAGAATCTGATCACCATGAGAATTGAAGAGCTCATCATCTGATACTATTCCAAATTGGAAGAAGATTCTGAACATGTCCAGAGGCCACAAAGAACTAGACAAATATCAAGGAGATTTGCAGAGTTTAACATGTTGCAAGATACTGAAGTAGACTCTGAGGGAGAAGTCTTTTAATGTTCCATGTTAGTAGACTTTGAACCAGTGAGTATGAAGAAGCTCTTAATAATAAAGTGTGGCTGAAGGCCGTGAAATAAGAACTTGAGAATATAGAAAGAAACAAGATTTGGGAGTTGAATGAACTTCCAAAGAAGAAGAAAGCCATTAGCGTCAAATGGGTTTTCAAGATAAAGTTGAAGCCATATGGATAAATTGGCAAACATAAAACAAGGTTAGTAGCTAGAGGATTTTACAAAAATCTGGACTAGATTACTTTGAAGTGTTTGCTCCTGTAGCTAGACATGAAACAATTAGATTGGTGATTTCTATAGCTGCTAATAGGAATTGGTCTTTCATGAATCTGGATATTGTTGTAACTGGTTTTTAAATTAGAGTCGTCACTCTTAATTTTTATCCTAAGGAAGAGAATATAATGGAATAACCTTAAAAATTTCAGAGATTCTACATTTTTGACTCAGTTCTAGACGAAGGGAAGGTGTTAGGTACCCCTCATCTACCTTGTTCACGAGGATACTAGGTTTAAAAGCGCGATCTTTAAGAAGTGGGATTTTAATGCTTTATTAGGGGAACTCACCACGATTTTAATCGTATGCCTACGTATCCTCTTAGGAGGAATCAGAGTTCCATTTCGTAGTTCACAGTTGGTTTGTGTTTTTTATAGATTACGCAGATATTTTAATTCCCCTCGTTCTTTGTCCGTGTGTGTGAATAGCGGAGATTTTAGATGAAACGCGCGATTAATTGAAATATACTTCGTACTCCTTTTCGAAAATTAATTGTTGAATTAATTTATTTACGAAAAATAATTTGATGTTTGGTTGAATATTTTTAAGTATTTAATTATAAAAAATATCTTATTTAAAATGCATGATTAAAAGATAATTTAATGCAAATAAAATAAATAATATTTTTTATGGGTTAGAAAATAATATATTTGGTTTTATGATAAAAATAATATAAGAGCATTAAATATATTAAATATAATAAAATAAGAAACATAAAAATAATTATAATAAAATGATAAAGAAAATAAAATAAAATGTGTGTGTGTCTCTGTGTGTGTGTGTGTGTGTGTGTGTGTGGGGGGGGGGGGGGGGGGGGGGGGCGTTTGTAAATTATATTGAAGTAGTAAAAATAGGAGGGTGTTAATAGCATGAGCCAAAATCCAGATATTGGATTTGACCCAGCTGCGCAGGGGGTGTCAATTTTAGTTTAGAAGTAAAAGCTGGGGGTGTGAGAAGTAGGGGGCCTAAGTCTAGATTTTGGACTGGGCCCAATAAGTCAAAGGATGCGTTTTTGAGCTGCTGAGTGAAAACAAAAAAACAAGGGGGTTTGGTTATTAATGGGCCCGACCCAAGGAGAGGTTTGGGTTCGTTGGCCAGCGTGTGGGTTGTATACCGTAAGGCCATTAGTACACGCACTTGTGAGCGTTTGATTTGGATCTGATGATCGTGGTTGAGGGTGTATCGTAAGGAACATAGAGCGACACATATTGGATCACTAAGCGTAATATACCTTTGTTTCAGTTAAACCTAAATCATTTCCCTTATCCTCTTCTCTCTCTTTGCTATCACCCTCTCCTCTCTTCCCACAAAAACCGAAACCCTCTACAAACCAAAACCCTAACCCGCGACAATGTTATCTCCGTCTCTTTGTTCCTTCTTCTTCTAACACAACACCATCAAACCCTAATCTTCAGTCCCAGCGGTGGTGATGTCCTCCTCTTCTCCAAACTCCTCAACATCCGAACCTTAGGAACCCGATCCACAACCTTAACCCCCAAATCATTCAGTGGTTCACCAGAACGATAATAAAACGCAAGCTAAGTGATTTCGTGCTTTACCTTATTCTTTTCTTTCGATCTCACCTTTTAATCCTTTTTCTTCTTGATTCGCAGGTAATGACGAATGATGATGGTGGATTGAACGACGGTGTGATGGTGAGACTGGAGGAAGAGGACGGTGGAGCG